AACGGTAAAATATTACAATTTCATTTGTCCAACCTGGAACACAGACGTCTTTTGCTGGCTGTCGAGGCAGTTAATTATAATTAACCACACAACTTGCCATGCTATTTGTCAGGCAATTGCATTTAATATGTTTGAAATCGCCATCAACTCTGCAAACACAGGCAGTCCAATTCAGTGCCTCAAATAAGCTCAGGTCATTTTTGAAAAAGACTTAGCAGTCTAGTCACTTGGAGTGACTTTAAACCTTTTATTAACTAAATAGATGCCTCAGCAAATAAATACCCTATTGTATAGCTATGGAGAATACCGTTTTTGTAGTATAAGCATGTTTTAATTCTACTGTAAAGTCCCAGACACAAAGGCCAGAGACTGGTCGGAGACCCTTGGGAACCGGTGGTCTATATATATTCATTATTTATTTATCAGATGCTGGAAGTTATACAGATTTGGGGTTTCCAGGGGGGTCATCATCTGAAATTTAGGTCTGTGCAGCTGGGTCTTGAAGGTGAGCTTTCTAACACTGTGTGTTAGTCTGTGTGGACTGAATGACTTTTTAAGTCAGCCTCAAGTGGCTTAGATGAGCTGTATGCACGAGTGTCCTGTGGAGTCAGTTTTTGTAAATTGGCAACTATGACTGCTTTGTTAAACAAGGTTAAAACTAAAAAATTGAACCTCAAGCAAGATCCCTGGAGCGTTATGAGTTTATAAATTTAAAAACCACAAACAAAAGAGCTGCTAAATTGACCTTGAGTATTAAAAACACTTTCAAACATCTCCCCACTGTGGCTGTTTGGACTGCAAACATTTCCCAGCGTAGCTTTAACTGTATATAAACAACAAAGGTCAGAGTTAAAAGACTTGTGGACACTGGTGCTGAGTGAGAGGGTCCTTCCATTGAGCTGTGAGGCAGTTTATTCTGAAGGCACTTCAGCCAAATGATATGCCTCTCGCTCCTCTCTCTGCCACCTCCTCCCTCCTCTTGCAACTAGTGCGTTTTTGTCTCTCTGTCCAAGTGTTTACTCAGGATGGGGCTTTTTTTTCCCAGCTCTATCTCTTCCATCCAAATCCTCCAACTTACAAAACCTTCTTTTATCACCACACAAAGGCAGCTATGTACTTCTTTGTGTCATGCTTGTTACCCCGTCTCACTCATGTTCTGGCACTCTGTAGACCGCCCCTGCTTCATCATTCCCCCCACATCCCTCCACTCCTCCTCCAGGCTGCAATAATGTGTCTAAGTGCAGCTCGGTATGGCTGTGAATGGGGGCCCTTTTCAATACCACCTGCCATTTATCTAACCCTCGGCTGGTTACAGGTGCAGGAGAGAGGCGTAGCTCCGAGCCCAGATGCTTGTGATGGCTGGGAGGCCTGGATCCCTGCTGGGCCTCCAAAACAACTTTTATGCGGTTCAATTTCACGTACAGTGATGGAAAGAGTACGCCTGTTGTGTTGATGACACCGTACGCATGTGTTTGATGAGGTGCCAGCGTCTGTGCAGAAAGGTGAGCTTTAAAGATGGTAGTAAGTTTTATGTCTTTGTATGAGTTTCAGGTAAAATCTTAATAGCTTTTATTTCAGGTTCAGCTTTAAATATTTAAACATTTTCTAGTTTCTAGTGTTTTTATATGTATGTTTATGACATCAAAGCTTTCATCTTTTTCCAGCGTGATCAGTATTTTCATTTTTGTGAAACGACAAAAATGGAAGCACAATAACCCACGATTCCCAGAATTGTGCAGAATTTTAGTCTAAAAATGTTTTATTTATTTTACGCCCATCTATCCATCCGGTTCTGCTGCAGCCAAAGACACTCCATTGGAGATTATGGGGTATTTATTGTGATTTTCTCTTTTTGGCAAGAGACATTTACTTGCACAAGGCAGCAGAGTGGTCTGATTTATCAGTAATGCTTTTGTCACAGCTGTGATCCATAACAGCAGATAATCTGTGGATGGAGTGAAACAGCCTCAAACTCAAATTCTGAGCTGGGAACTGATACTCAGAAATATTTTTTTCATTCTGACGGGTCAGTCTGTCCATACAGGCAACCAATCATCTATCTAGACTCTTAGCTGGTTCATGAAGTTACACAGTAGATTTTCTTTTAAAAAGATTTTCACTTATCAAGATTTCTTTTTTCCTGCCCCAGGGACACTGTGACATTATTAAAAGTGATTCCATCCGGAAGTGTGGCCTCACATGCCAGCAAGGCTCAGCTGAAAAACACTGATTTTTCTTCATTAGCTCAGTTCATGTCACTCTAAAGATCCAGAAATAACTCTGGCTTGATTTTAAACACATAAGCATGCATTATCCTTTTTTTGAATGAGGATATGTGATGGTATTTGCAAGCTCTAATTCATTTTGTTGATGCCCGAAGGCAAATAATAGAAGCCACATACAACATACATTTATTTATTTATAAATCTGGCCGGCTAAAGCCAGAGGGAATGAAAGGTCCTTTTCAGTGCTGCCCTGATTTGTATCAGTATGTATAAGAATGATGAAAGGTAAGGTTATTCTAAACACTGCATTCTTTACAAGACTGAGTAAACCGAGCACACAAGGTCTTATTTTTTTGTGCTCTTTTTTTTCTTTCTTCCTGTTGACATTTAACACAGAAAGAGACAAATGTATTTCATGGGTTTGGAAACTCTACTTATGTTTGCGTTTGCAGCATTTTGGAGGGGGGTGTTATAAAAGTTTCAAACAGCATTCCTTTACCAGTATATTGTATATAATGTGTTGGGAACAGAGATCATTGCAGAAAACCTCCTGTGCCTGCAGAGGGCAGCTGAAACCACAGGAGTTTTTCTTCGCCCCTCTGCCTGGAAGGGATTTGCAGTCATGATGAGACAACACTGAAACTCGCTGTTCTACATTATAAGCATCTACCTAATGTTTGCACTGCTGAAAAATGAAAGCGCCTGTGATTCACAATGTAATGTCAGGAGATTGTACTTTTCACCTCTCATCACTGGGTCCAAATCAGAGATCATAGATAGTCTAAATCATAGATCACTTTTTGATACATTACCAAACTGAAAAAGGGGAAAGCAAGAAAGGAAGCTTAATGTGTTTGGAATCAGTGACCTTTACCGTACTGTATGGCGTGCAACCAATATGGATCAAATGAATTCAGTGTCTTTGTGTAATGCATTTTAATCTCTGTGTAGCGTTACTAACAACTAATGTTGCTACAAGACGTGATTTATAGCAGCCCTGTGCAGAGCAGTTCTGTGACTTCAGCAAAGTAATAATAGAAAAGTAGAGTCCGCCCAGCACATAAAGGTCACTGTAGTTCAGAGAAGCTACAACTTAAATTAAGCAAAATGTGCAGCAACCTTCACTTAATTTCTTCTTTAGCCTTATTACAGAAAGCAGTGGATCACTGTTTGTCAGCTGAGCAGCAGTTAGTGGTTAAAGTTAGTGGCTTGAAGCGCTCCCTTCAAAATAAAAGTTTATATGGTGGAAGATGGGGTTTGCTATGGTTTCAGCGTATTTGACTACAAATAAATTAGTAACTACAAGATTACATTTATAGTTAAATCATCTGGATTTGTGTGATTATGTTTTGGGTAGTTAAATTTTCAATATGCTGATGAATTTTACTGTATAAAATAAAATCAAAGTTACCCCCCTTCTTCTTCTAGTGACAATTTGTGAACTATAAAGTTATTTTATTTCTTTTTACTTAATGAAAATCAAAAATGGAGACTTTGAATAAGTGTTCCCCTGGTGTTACACAGAGCAAAGTGCTTTGTGTGTGTATGTTGTGGATGTGCAGTTTCAAGCGCTATTTTTTTAAAAATTCTGATTATGATCTGCTGTCAGTGCTGAGTGTCGGGAAATGCATGATAGTTGTACTGAAAAATAAAAATAAATATACAATTATGTTGCAAGTTACAATAATTGCCATGTAAGTGACATCATTCCCAAATAATCTGACCCATCATAGGACCAATAAATGTAGTACTCCCAACCATTCCATTAGAAAAATGCAATACAGACTGTTGCATTGGGCCATACAAACAAATTTTAGCTTCTAAGTTTAAAAATTCATTCAGATACATGGCAAAGTGATGCCAAACCATTATCGTTTGTGTGTTTGTATTTAAGACGATGTCTCCCAGAGCAGGCGGTGTCAAACACACTGGAAACCACTGGATGCAGCCATCCTTCAAATCATTTGCATGCATTACTGTTACTAAACGCATTACTATTCCTGTTGTTCTGTTACTACACAGTAATGTAAATGTCTTGATAGTTTAAAGTACTTTTTTTTGGATTCAAAGTTTTGTTAAGGCCACAATTAAGAAAAAATGTTAGAAGTGTTTTTTTATTTGCATTGTGAGCGTAAAGTCAAAATTTTGAAAGTGAAATTGAAAATGTATGTAAAGAATAAAGTAAGTTTAAAGAATAAGATTAGCTCCCAAAGTTGTCACTCTGTAGTGTGATTAAATGATTTTTAAGCACAAGGCATTTTTCTGGGCAGCTGTGCACTAGCTGCCCCTAATTTGACTTAATACCGGTAACATTTCCTTGATTATCTTAATATTTGAGTTTTAGTCTTGTAATTTCAGCTTTAATTTTGAAAGAAAAAAAACGACTGTTTCTTCTGGATGTAACTTTTCACATTTATTCCGACATTTTGACTTTATTTTCAAAGCAATATTTCATGTCCAACCATGTGTTTTATTTTCATAGATATCACAATTTCAACTTTATTCTCAAAATAAATATCCAAAATAAAGTCCTTCTCATATATTCCTTTCTTATTTATGACACAGACTTTCACGTATTTTTCATTTTCAAGTTTTCCCAAGTAACTTTGAATGTGTTTTCATTCAGTGATCTAGTTATTAGTTCGGCGGTATGCGGTCCATGACACCTTGGTCCTAGTAGCGTGCAGGGTTCATGTTCCTTTATTGTGAAAAGCACAGACGGGATGTTAATCTGATCTTTTCAGCTTCCTCCGTTTTTTCATTTCGACTCTGGGGACCGACCACGATACTTTTTCACAAACCCGGACAGTGACCGTTTCACAATATTAGTTCCCTCTCCAAGTAATTTTTGGGAAATCACTAAAGTTACTCAAGCCCCCCTCACGAGTTTACACTGACTTCCTCTTGTCTGAAAGTCTACTCCATGAAAAACAAACCACTGAGCTTTTAATAGTTCTCGTGCTGACTCCTCCCCATTGAGTTGTCCTGGGAAACACTAACAACTCTGAGAAAGTCAGTCTTGTTCCTTGAAGAGAACACTTTTGGTTTGAAAACCTGATCGCTGCGCAACTTTTCACTCTTTTTTTTTTGAACATCCAAATACTGCGAGTTCACCAACAGGAGGATTATTATGTGTTCAGAACATTCTTTTTCATCTTCTTCACGCTGAGCTTCAAGTGCTGAAGGTAAGAGGACTCCTTTACAATGTAAACCCGTTATCAGCTGTACTATGAATGGAGCCCGGCGTGGCTTTGTACGTATCGGGGTTGTTTTACATTGAGAGAAGTTGTTAAATGGCTGCTGGGTGGGTTTGTTAACGTGTTGCTTGGTAGCCATGACATCTTCACTTAGAGCCTGTGGGGCCAAAAGCTAGAGCTTCTCACGTTTCTGCTAGCTTTAAAACGACGAAGACCAACATAGACGTGTAAAATGATACTGTTCAAAAGAAGCTAAAGTTTAGGAGGTAAAGAAGAAATGCTTGTGACTTGTGCAAGTATGCTTATATCACCACTCCGAAAGCTCTCATACTAGCATTAAATGTTGTGCTCATTAGCTAATAGTATTTAGGATTGTATTATTTAAGGAGCCCTATTATTCTTTATATGTTAATTCTACTAAAGTAGCTTTGCATGATTTCAACTAACCCTTATCTTATACTAGGCCCCTCATTTCCACCACCCAGCTCGCTGACCTTCTTTTACCATGATTTCAGGCTGTTTTGTGCTTTGTGCAGTGTATAACCCCCACCAAGAGAATTTTAAACCAAATTTTCCTGGTGTTTGGGCTTGGTTAAAAAAGTCTTCAGGTGTATGTAGTTTAAATAGATCATGTCATAAAATAGTCAAAGAGTAACTTTGCATGATTCAGAGTTCAAAGTAATCATTATTTATCTCATATTTGGCCTCAGTGTAGCTCTTTGGTTCGTGCGTTGCCAGAAAAGAAGCTGTTTCCCCTTCTTCTACAAGTTTTTTTGTGGTTGGCTGTCTGTTGCAAACAGAAAGTCTAAAAGCAGGTGGGTGGGTCTGCTACCTGCTTGAGTTATTTAAAAAAAAAAGAGATATCTCTCATCTCTTGCATCTGAGATGAATATTTTAAAAAGATCCCTTCTTGTTGACATGATACAGTTTTAAGGGTAGAAAAACTGTCAGAAATGTCAGGCATTTAGAGCTTTTTTTTGGCACATAGAGATTACTTGAATATACGTGCCGTGTTTAAAATAAGCATCCACCAATGTGCCACACTAATACCACACAGCATGGTGGTAAGCACTGTTGCCTCATAGAAGAAGGTTCTGAGTTTGTATCCATCATCTAGTGACCATCTTCTTCTCATGGGTTCTCTTTGGTTACTCTGGCTTCCTCCGACAGTCCAAAAAAACATGGTAGTGATGTTAGTTCAATTGGTGATTCTAAACTGCCAAAAGGTGTGAATGTGAGTAAAAATAGTTGTCTGTATCTCTATTTTAGTACAGTGACAGAATGGCAACCTGTCCAAGGTATACCCTGGCTCTTGCCCTTTTGCAGCTTGGCTAAGTAGCATGTCCCACTGCAACCCTGAACTGGATAAGTGCAATAAGATAGGTAGATGGACTAGGAAAAGTATCATAGATTCAGTTAAAATGAGATAAGGAAATTAAGAACTAAACCAGCAATATCAGCTATTATTGACTTACACAGATTTATCAGTAGTTATTAAATTTAAATGGTTATTTGATGTGGCAATAAGAATATCTATCTATCTATCTATCTATCTATCTATCTATCTATCTATCTGCATAGCATATTCTCCATTGTTTACAATAATCTCAGCACTGTCGTAAAAAAGGAAGGTGAGCGTGAGTGACCATTCTCTGGTTCAAAGTACCATAGAGGAGAACAACCTGATTGCTTCGAGCTGATAGGAGGCCAATCGTAAGCACCTGGATGAATGTGTGCCATGAAAATTAAGGTAGCTCTGGTAAGGTGTATCTATGTGCAAATGTAAAAAGAATCCGAAATGGATACATCCTCAACAGTGATGTCATAGTTGGTTCTCAAAAAAAGGCCTGGAATTTAATTTAATAATTAGCTATATTTACATATATATATGTCATTCTGAGAGAAATAAAATTGATTTGTATGATTACTTATTTTCACATGATTGACCTTTACCACTCTTAAGGATTTAATGAGGAACACTCAGATTACCCAGTTGTTATCAGGGCTCAAGGTTGGCCTTTTGGGGTGATTACACCTATTTTGGCTGTTTATTAAATTAAATGATCAAAATTTATATTAAATTAATTATTATATATATATATTAAAATAATTATTAAATTAATAAAATGATCTTTAACCAAAAATAAATCAACTGGTTTCATTAAAAAAAAATTGTTGGATCTTTGGCGCCATTTTTCTTTTGTTTTTTTTGTATGAAGCCGAAACCCTGGTAACTGTCAATAATTATACTGACTCTGCATCTAATAACCCCCCACAAGCACAAAAACAAATTAAAGTCATTGTTGTGTTGGGCAGATACTTAAAATCTTTTCAGGGTTATTTTTTTCCTCATTAAGGAAGCCTACTTCCAAGAGCTGATTTTACTTCCTGGTTTGTTGGGAAGGTCTGCACACATGTAAGCAAAAGCAGTGGCCTACTAATTCACTTACACCCGCTTGACCTCACCCATTTGAACATGTTCAAAGAGCGAGGCACCAAGGCATGGCTGCTTTCTGGGTTCCCATGTTGTAACACACCCATAGCTTCGCTCTGAAGTCACAACACAAGCCTCATCTTCTTCACTTCCTGGTTAATTTGAGTTTATCCCACTTGCCTGGGTACAAGCAGTGAAGCCGATCAGTGGCTTGTTTAAAGAGAATCTTCTTATTCTCTTAAAAAGAGTCGGGTGCTAAATGTTTTACATTTTTCCAGTGTCTTTGAGGATTATCTCTGGCCTCAACATCAACACTAATCTGACAAGTGATTCTACGCTTTCTTAATACTCACGCTATCACCCAGTCTATAATAATGTTGGATCTTTGGATTCCACACTAGTGTTTCATCTTTAAATAAGCCCTAGTAATGGCAAGAGTAAAAGTGAGAACAGGTGACACTGCTCACATTTGTTGTCACTCCTTCATAGTGGAGTGACCCTGGTAATCTGACTTGTTTACAGAGATTTCCTGCTGTCATTGTTGACTTGGTAGAACTGGCTGTGTTATCTATCAAGCAGCCCACTCATCTATTTTGTATCGCTCCATGCATGCCTTTGACTGTGCAATTGTCCTGTAAAAATGAGTCGGCGCCAATGAATGTAGGCCAAGTATCCATCAGCCCCATATTATATTCTTTGACCAAGAGAGAAAGAAGGAAATGGACCTGTTGCGACTTCCTTCTTGAAACCTCTTACACAGTGGGTGTGTCACATTTGCAGTAACACTTCACCTAGTTGATATGAACTTTTATGTTGCAAAAGGAAATTTCCAAGTTGATAAATATGAAGCAGATATATTGTAGAGATGTTTGACTCGCTTTGACAGCGAGTACAGAATAGCTTTATAAAGACTTCGAATCAGCCCTGCAAACTCACCTAGTTCATTAACTTAACACTTCTATACTTCAAATGTGCTTTGTACTTGTGTAATGTGTCAATGTGTTTGAATAATGTTAAACTGTTTTCTCAGTGTTTGAGCAGTTGCTTATCCTGTCAGGTGTTGGTCAAAAAAGTTTTCAGTTGCAGTAATTCAAAATCATCCAAATCTTCACAACTGTTTGTGAATTTAATGGGAACCTGTTCATTTTCATCTTCCATCTTGGTCTTTTTGAGGACACTCCTAGATAAATTTGTATGTTTTGCCATTTAAAATAATCCTTTTTTCGCTAATATTGGGCCTTGGTGTGGCCTCAGTTCTTCCACTGTATGAAGTAAGCAATTGTGGCCTCTCTCCCTTTAAGGGCACCCTCCCTTTAAACTAGCTTTGAACAGCAGGTCAGTTTAGCTTTGTGCACACATCCAGAGCTTCTTGCCTGAAATGACTGGTAAGGATATTTGCTCTCATACATATTTGCTGTCATACAACTCTAAGAGTGGGGGAAAAAACTATCTGAAACTGGGCGTTGAGTGGAGTATGAAGCCTGAGCTTTTGGTGCTGAGATTACTTTGACAAACAGTTTCTTCATTATTTGAAACTTTGGGCATATTTTTAATGGGCATCTATAAATTTAAGAGAAAGCATAATAAGTCTCATTTAATATTTTACAAACATGTATTTCACTTTCCTTTGAAGATTTAGATGTGAAGTTCAGTGTGAAATTCAAAACACTAACTTGAGATTTGCAAACCAGAATGAAATGTTAATATCGTGATTTTGTTAGAGTGGCACTTACTGGATATGTCGTCTTTTAAAAACGGTCTCAAACCATGTATTATAGCCATCTTCAGATGATGGTATTAACAAACATGACAGAATGTGAGTGCAACAGTAAACCGAGCTGCAGCTGAGCTCTTTCACTGCCAACACATTTTAAAAACCAGTACACATCATTCCACGTTTTTTCCATAAGACACAAGCTATCAGGAGAGGACTGTGCAACTTTTCCACTAAACAAAAGCTTATTACTCTGCTCTCTGCGTCTTTCCCTGCAAAATTCAGGTTTATTTCTTAGGACGTCCTAGTTAGCGATATATGTTTAGCTCCGTTATGAGAGACAAATGAAAGAGGAGTTGGCCTCCCATTTTGAGTACTGTAAATTTCCATGAGGATCCTGCTGGCTCCAAGCAGAACCCCGTCAATTTCTCATCTTTACAAACCCCCTAATTTAATGATGATGGAGGATACGCACAGTGTGGGCCTTGTAATTACACTGTATTTGCTATAGAATGGAAGCATTAGAGGAAGTCTTACAGGTACTAGTTCATCATGTAGTGCTGTCTCAGGGATAAGTTTTGGTATGCCTGGGAGGGCGACTGCTGAATTCCCCACTGATATTCACAATAAAGCCTTGACTTAGTTTTTGTTAAGGCTGGAATCGCTGGAATCCTCTCAGCACGCCAAACAGCAGCCGCACTCATTGTTCCAAAACAGCAGCTATTTCCACAGCTTGTCCAAACGTTGTGCCCTGGAGCAGAGTTTATTTTCTCCTGGAAATTATTGAGAACGCTTTGATGTTAATTGTTAATGTGCCTATGTTGATATCAAAATTTAACA